GGTCCTTGCCTCTGCATGTCTGTGCAGGGGATGGTTGCACCTGTTGAACTTCTGCCCACTGTACAGCTGCAGAAGCTTGCCAGAAAAGCAAGCAGCATCTGCGGTGTGCACAGGAATGATGGCAGGTGAGGAAGGTGGGCTCGTGGGTGGCAGGTAGATTAGTCAACCGAGGGGCAGCATTGCTTCGAAGTGGGCAGCGGAGGTGCCTTCTGGCTCTGTAGCAAAAGGCCAGCAGGGCCTGCTATCCCTGTCCCCTTTTCTCTCTGGTTACCTTGGTGATGTGCAGGGTGCTGTTGCTAAGCAACAGTTTCATAGTAACACACACAGAGCGGGAGAAAAGGCATTAGCTGTGCTTTTGTGCTTGCCTGTCTGTGTTTGTCTTTGATGCTCAGGTGTGCAGGGCAAGGGCTGTTCTGCTGAAGAGCCTTAAAGCCCAGACTTGGGTTCAAACCTGGTGGGAGTGGCTGGGAGAAGAAAGCTGTGACTGTCTTCCCACCCTAATCTGTGGGGAGACGCTGTCTCGTATACTGTACTTGGTGGCCATTTTATACACACAGCCAAGTAAAAAGCACATGGCAGTATCTTAACATGAGCAGAGTACTCCCGCAGTGACTACAGCTGCCTGTCCTGTGATTGCAACAATTTGAACACCCCTAACAGTGATCCTGGGCTGTCGCTGCACTTGTTTATTCAAAACAAAACACAACATTTCTATCCCGCCTTTCTGCCTCAATACGAGTTTCTCAAGATGGCTCACAGCTTGATCAATAAAACAGTTTCTAAAAGGCCCAATCAATTAAAGATACATAAATAAGCCTGGGGGACAGAAGATTATAGGAATGTCAAATGCTGTGATACTGACCATATCTCAGTGGGAGTATTTGCTCCTATGAAGAACATGCCTGGAAACACATCTCTAAATTGACTAATGCCACCCAACAAGTTAATGGCTGTCAAGGGACATTAATCTGGATTCACTGGGACACATGAGGCATTTGAAGAGACATATAGGCCGCATTCACATGGTGAGCTAAACCAGCCTGCAAATAAGCTATGCCATCTGAGGTGTTTGGGGAGCAGCCCATAGTGCTCTCTACATGATCGTCATGGCTTGTTTTCCCCCTTGGTCCTCCAGCCGGTGTACCGGGGTGCTTTGTTACAAGCTATCTTGTTCTCCACTCCCTCCTCTGATCGCTGTTCATTTTTTCGCTACAATTTTTCTTTTCTTCTTCAGACCCTCAAAATGTGCAGTTGAGTTGCCTCCCTTTTGGCCTCAACAATTGTGCAATTGCATTCTCAATTAAATTATCTTTTGTTGTTGCTGGGTCTTCCAAAAGTACTTTTTTATGATTATCTGCTATGTCTAGTCTTGCCCGATCAACTTACTTGTCTCTTTCAACTGCCAAAGGGAGTAGTGAAGTGAAGGAGATAACAGATTAGCAAGGCAAGATAGGCAGTAATTTGAGTGCAATTGCCAGGGACCAATTGCTTAGTTGTCAATTGAAAAGTAACAGAGGAAAATGGTCAAAGTAGGTGCACCAAAAGAGATGGAGAGACAATATCACCTGTCTTGATTTTAAGGGGTTGAACTGACACTTCATAGTACCTTTTACCTTTTCCATACTCACCCAACTCCAGCCACTCAGGAAAGGGAGACATCATCTCCCATTTTCATGGCTCACTTGCTGCCGCTGTGCAGATTCACTCTCTGTATACTTTCCAAGCATTCCATTGATGTCTATTACTCAGTCCAAATAATTGCAGAGATATTCCCAACAATATCCTAAACAAAACCAATGGCAGAATGGGGTAGAATAAATGGGATGACAGCACCAGCAGTACTTTACACATGCCCCTCATGGGGCCTTTTTCACTTCATCCCATTCAGTCATCTTAGAGGGTTTCGCTTTGCTTTAGAACTGTTAGGGAGCTGCAGTACCTTCAGCTATTGATGCTCCAAAAAGGAGCTGTGAATAGCATGGAGTTCAGCTCCTTCGGAAAGAGGACAGATTGAGATTTGGGGAAGGTGTTGAAAAGGTGCAGGACACTAAGAAGTGGCAGTTCAGCACTTGAAACCAAGAGAAGGGGGTAATATGTTTTCACCTCTTTGGGTGCCCCTACTTTCCTCCTGTGTGGTGCTTTTCAATTGACAACCAGACAATTGGCCCCTGGCAACTCTGCACAAATTAGCCTACATTCAGTCTCACCTTGTCCATCTGTTACTAGTTAGCCACAACGGGCTGTCACTTTGAGTGCACTTAGTCACATTTTGCAACATTAGCTTCAAAATGCACCAAAGGAGGGAGTGTTTTTCCAGGTTCTTCGCATTCCCAGCAGCTTTACACACTGACTGGACTTGCTTTGAACTCATCCAGTAGCTTTTCTGGTGTCCCATGGGAATTGCTTCCTCTTGGATATCAGCGTTGCTTTGTGGCGCCATTCATGTGGGTGTTGGGCCAGCTTCCTATGTCTTTTTTTATGCCACGACTTAGTTGTGTAGCACATGAACTTAAGAATGAACAGAGCACCTCTGAACTCTTGTGCTGCTATATGCATTCCTTGAGAGCAATTACAAATACTGCAGACATGCCTAGGATTAGGGGGTTGCAGGTCAGCGGGCTTGTGTTCTAGGCGTGCTTAAGTTTTCGCAGTTGGGTACTCATTAATAAGCTCCTCGCTCTTCGGGGATAAGTACAGCTCACCATTGGCTTCGGTGCGCATGTTAACCTGGTGAGCATTTTGCAACTAGCGCATATGTTTAGTCAAACGTTCATCAAGAGACAGCAGGCTGTGAACAAATGCTTAGATGATCCATGTGGGGCTATGCTTATTGCTAGAGTTCAAATGGTTTTGTTCCCAGGTGTGTATGTATGTATTTATTTAGAACTTTCGTATGCCGTCCCATCGCTTATAGCCTCGGGATGGCTCACATAAAAGGTATCCTTCATAAATCTGGATGCTCCAGGTATTCTCTGAAAGCTTTAATATTTCCTGAATATTTGAAACCTGAATTTGACATCCTATGCCGTTTGACCATTTTTGACGGTTCAGATCTTGTATCAGTGTTTATGCTGTGGCATTAATACCTGCTGGTGACTTGATGGTTGGGGTGTAAATCTCTGCCTGCAGTATGTTCTGTTATGTCAGTGGGCCGTGCCAACACCATTAGGGAGACCTCCACAGATGGATGCGGGACCTGACAGGAGGGCTAGCCCGGTTCCGTTGCTGTCCTAACAGGAGCCGCTTCAGAACTAGGTGGACCCAGTTGTGCACGTGAACATGCAAATGACAGAGCCATCTGCAAAGAATATATTTGCACATACAGTTATGAGTGCAAAGGCAGGCAGTGAGGCTGGGCAGAAATGTACATGTAGAGGAGCATAAGCAGCCCAAATTCCTCTCTGTGTTACATATATACAGGGTGGG